CCCCTGGCAACAACTAGGCTTCACAATTCTCTGGAGAAAGTTCCTTGTTGATCCTATAAACCACCCAGCAGCCATTCCTAAAATACATAGCTCTGGGAACAGGCTGAAGTTTGAGAATGTCAGGAAAGGAAACCCCGTTATCAAAAGGGAATGTCTCCAATTTGCACTTGTATTTGCATCGGCTAGAAACAGGTGGAATTCCTGAGAATGTGAGCTTTTGAAATGAACACGGAGCCCTGCAGAAGGAAGGAATGTTCTATCAGCAAGCATCCTCTGGACCCAACCCATCAGGCAGCCTGTGTGCTGAGAATTTATGGATGTGTTTTCAATTTCTCTGACAGAATCTGTTTGGATTGAGGACGGCTGTTTAATCTTTGAAATAATGTGTTCCATAACAAACGCTGGAATCACATATAAATTGCTCCCTTCATTTTGTGAGCCAAACCCTGACTAAAGACAGTTTGGAAATCCCCACAAGGTGCTCTTTGCTTATTGCTCATTCAGAAAGAAAAAAAATAAATAAATAAATAAAACCTTTCTTTAATGAAAAGTAATGTTGAGGAACTGCCAAAAATAGAAGCTCCCTATCTGCCTTTACATAGCTTCTTTCTAGCCAATTAACTACCAATGAACTGAGAAGAGCCACAAGCATAGGCATGCCAGCATTGTGCACATGGCCCCAGGCAGAGATGAAGTCTCTGGGCCTGACTCAACCTACAAAAATCCAGGAAGCCCAGGCATGACCCAGACTTTTAATAGTGAGGTCAGTCTGGCTGAGTTCCCAGAAGTAATGCTGAGGGGTTGTCACCTTTGGGACAAATCCTATTTGTTCATTATCACTTTTTAGTTTTTAACTACATTGTTTTAAAGGGAAATATCTAAGGCCTTCAAAGGTTGTTCTTCCATGAATTCTAACAGACCTAATTCTATATTAACACTCCAGTGGAGAGTTTTTTTTTCTTTATCTAGTGAGTGTTAGGTTTTACACTGTCTGAAAATAAACAATATATACACATTCTTGAGTGTTATGATATTTTGTTCCAAATTTCAAATTGATCAGTTAATATTCACAAATTTTCTCACCAAGCCAATATAAAGCTGCAGAAAAATGAATTTTTCTTTTAAGTATTTTCTTTTCTATAACTTCCCTCCCATGGACTTGAAATTGACAAGGAAATAATTTTGAAACTTTCAAAAAGTTTTTAAAATTATTTATTACAATTTATTCACTTTGTATCCCAGCTGTGGCCCTCTCCCTCATCTCCCCCCAATCCCCCCTCCCTCTTCTCCTCCTATGCTCCTCTCCTAGTTCACCGATAAAAGAGGTGCTCCTCCCCTTTTATCTGATCCTACCCTATCAGGTCTCATCAGGACTAGTGGCATTGTTGTCTGGTAAAGCCAGGAGTTGGTGATCAGAATTGAAACTCTTAAGAGATGTGAATTTGGAGATTTTTGTTGGTTTGTTGGGACGTATTTGTTTTGTTTTGTTGTAAAACTAATAACAAGAGCTGGAAAAAGAAGTACTATTATCAAAATGATATGTGTGTGTGTTCTTTGCCAACAGTAAATGAATTTCCAATTAAAGATAATGAGAAGGCTTCATAATGGAAGAGAATAATAGCTACATTTACATAGCTATGTTCTAAGCCAAGATTTTACAGTAGTACTTATATTTATTTCTTACAAGCATGGCAATGAGTGAAGGATGGTGTCTTAATATGAGACATGGGGAGAACCAAGCTCTAAGACATGGTTCTCAACCTTCCTAATGATGTGACCTTCTACTACAGTTCTTCATGTTGTGGTAAACTCCAAACATAAAATTATTTCCATTGCTACTATATAACTATACTTTTGCTACTGTTATGAATTATAATGTAAATATTTGTTATGCAGCATATCTGATATGTGACTCCTGTGAAAGATTAATTCCACCCTCAAAAAGGGCCATGGCCCACAGGTTGGGAAATGCTGCACTGCTCTAAGACATTTGATAAGGTTGAATATGTCATTCAGCCATGTCTTGATGGAGCTAAAATTCATGTGTAGTACTGTGTGCACCTCACATTTATGTAAGTCTCTGTACTCCCAATACTGAAAAGTTATTAAAATGTAACTACACTTAAGAAGTTTCTAGGCATTGGCTTTAAGTGTCACTGATACACCAATGGCCTGCTTTCTATGTCTAACAGTATGGATTCCTGTGAACTCTATACTTGAAAGTTCAACAGACATTTTCCCATCACCATATGCATATGGAGCTCCTTATCCTATCTAGCCCGTCGTAGTCAATATAGCCAATCTGTCAGGAAGTTTCTTGGCTCTTCCATAGCAATCAGTCCTTATGCATGAACTTGACTGAAGCAAGCTTCCCATCCTTGCTCATCTAGCCAGACTCCTGACTTCCAGACTCACTATCCAACATCCAGAATGGTCTGTGAGCAGCACAAGTCAAATTACATCACTCCTTTAAAGCTTGAGTCTTTGCCTGGCCCTTTAAGATCCTGAGGTATACACTAATGTGTACTCTCCCTCCAAAAAGAAACAGACTTCAAACGCTTCTACTCCTGCCCCAGGCTCAACTATATCTGTAGCCATTTTCCCCCGGTGGGACCACAGTGGACTAAGCCCCTTCCATCTTAGCACATTTGCACCTGATGTCTGTCCTTTGTTGAGGATGTCCTTTCCCAAACTGGTTTCCTCTCTAGTAGTAAGCAGAGGCTACTTCTCTCACTGCAGATAGTAATTAGCACCTCTCCTAGATATTTCTTTGGTCCTTCCTTTCTGTTTCAATTTTCTTTCAAGCTTTCATTGAAAAAAAAAAAAAACCTGGTGGGCAAGAACATATTTGCAAGCCCTTGTGATTTCCACTTGCATTAAAAATAAAGACCAGTAAGCCAAGCTAGTACAGCTTCCAACACACAGCAGGCACACAGATGGCATGGGGAAAGTGATCCTGCCCTATCCAGAGGCCCAGGCTGAATGTTGATTTAGTCGTTTCCCCCTCTGCCAAGATCAAGGGATTTTCAATCCAACAACATTGATATCACAATCTGCACAACAATATTGCAAAGCAGGTCTTTACAATGGCTGGGTGTGTTAGCAACTATTAGAGGAGGTTACAGGAGTGTCTGTTGGGAAGAAATGTGCAGAGAAATGACCTCTCTTCCACTTGCAACATGCTTGTCAAAAAACTGTGCTTGTTTTCTTTTTAAAATTAGAGTTCATCTTACCCAGGGTTCTCCTTCTAGCTTAGTTTCTTTAGGTTTACAGATTTTAATATGTTTATTCTCTATTATATGGCTAATATTCACTTATAAGTGAGTATATACCATGTGTGTCTTTCTGTTTCTTGGATACCTCACTCAAGATGATCTTTTCTAGTTCCCACCATTTGCCTGTAAATTTCATGATTTCCTGGTTTTTAATTGCTGAGTAGGATTCCATTGTGTAAACTTACCACAATTTCTGTATCCATTCCTCCATCTGGTTATTTCCAGATTCTGGCTTTTACAAATAAAGCTGCTATGAACATGGTTAAGCAAATATCCTTGTTGTGTACTTGAGATATTATGTATATATGGCTAGGAGTGGTATAGTTGGATCTTGAGGTAGCACTATTTCTAATTGTCAGAGAAAGCGTCAGATTGATTTCCAAAGTGGTTGTACAAGTTTATATTCCCACCAGCAATGGAGGAGGGTTCCCCTTTCTCCACATCTTCTCCAGCATGTGTTGTCACTTGTGGTTTTGATCTTAGTCATTCTGATGGTCGTAGGGTGAAATCTCAGGGTCATTTTGATTTGCATCTCCCTGATGACAAAGGACAGTGAGCATTTCTTTTTTTCTCTGACATTTTATATGCCTCTACAGAGAATTCCCTGTTTAGCTTTGTACCCATTTTTTAAATTGGATTACTTAGTTTGTTGCTTTTTAACTTTTTTAGTTCTTTACGTATTCCGGATATTAGCCCTCTGTCAGATATAGGGTTAGTGAAGATCCTTTTCCAGTCTGTAGGCTGTCATTTTGTTCTGATGACAGTGTTCTTTTCAGTTTCATGAGGTCCCATTTATTGATTGTTGCTCTTAGAGCGTGTGCTGTTGGTGTTCTGTTCAGGAAGTTGTCTCCTCTGCCAATGAGTTCAAGGCTCTTCCCCACTTTTTCTTCTAACAGATTTAGTGTGTCTGGTTTTATGTTGAGGTCATTGATCCATTTGGACTTTAGTTTTGTGCATGGTGATGAATATGGATCTAGTTGCATTTTTCTACATGGAGATATCCTGTTTGACCAGCACCATTTGTTGAAGATGCTGTCTTTTTTCCATTGTGTGGTTTTGGCTTCTTTGTCAAAAATCAAGTATCAGTAGGTGTGTGGGTTTATTTCTGGGGTTTCTATTTGATTCCAAATGGGACAGGATCCTATCACAGAGGGCCTCTGAAAGACTCTATTCAGCAGGGTATCAAAGCAGATACTAAGACTCATAGCCAAACTTTGGGCAAAGTGCAGGAAATCTTATGAAAGAAGTGGGAGATAGAAAGACCTGGAGAAGACAGGAGCTCCACAAGGAGAGCAACAGAACCAAAAAATCTGGGCAAAGGGGTCTTTTTTGAGACTCATACTCTAACCAAGGACAATTCATGGAGATATCCTAGAACCCCAGCACAGATGTAACCCTTGGCAACTCAGTTTCCAAGTGGGTTCCATGGGAATAGACACTGTCTCTAATGAACTCAGTGGCTGGCTCTCTGATCACCTCCTCCAGAAGGGGAGCAGCCTTACCAAGCCACAGAGGAAGACAATGCAGCCAATCCTGATGAGACATGATAGGCTAGGGTCAGAGGGAAGGGGAGGTGGACCTCCCCTCAAGTGGACTTGGGGAGAGACATGGGAGGAGATGAGGAAGGAAGGGTGGGATTGGGAGAAAATGAGAGAGGGAAATACTGATAGGATACAATGTGAATACACTGTAATCAATTAAAAAATAAATCAAAAAATAAAAATATAGAGTTCAAACATTTCATTTTTAATAAGGTACAAATGTTTACACAGTCTTACAGTTTTTTATTTAAAAAAAACAACAACACATTACTATGTGGTTGTGGCAAAACTAAATGTGAGTATTATTAGCATTTAGGCAGCCAGCTTCTTGGTTGCCTCATAATCTATGATGTCATCATTGGTCGTTGCCCACAGGCGCCTAGGATAAAAGGACCCCTGCCCCTTACCTCTCTCTTGCTGTGTCTTGTACTTAAATCTCTCTTCTACTCTATTCTCTCTCTCCATTAGCGATCCCCCTCCCCCAATCATGTCTCACTCTGTCTTTCCCTCTATCTCTTCATCTCTATCCAATAAACCTCTTTCATATAATATCTGTTGTGTGCATCAATTTTTAAAAATAATAACAAATATATTCCGTAAAACTCACACACGGGCTCATTCCCAGCTCACATAGTATGGCAAATAGTTATTACCATGCTGGCAAACTGAAATCTGAGTAATGTTTCCCAAGTCAGATATGCTGGCTCTGCACTCATGTAAATCATTTCAAAGGTTAGAAGCAGAATCTGATATACCACTGCCTAAATCCAAAAGGTAGAATATTGTGATTATGTGGGGATTCCATTGTTCTCCTTTGTTAGTTTCTCATCTCCAGCACAGCATGTGATAATGAATACTGATCAGAGTATTCATATGATAACTTAAAGTAAATCATTCTCACCTAAATGTAACAAATTATTCTCAAATTTCCAGTTTCTGTGCTTTATTGGGTTCAAAATGTATCTGTTTACATACTCTCCTTGGAAAGGCCTTTGGGAAGTGCTGAGTAGAGAACTGTTTTTGGGAACAGTGAGGGCTGAATACTTGAAAATTTCCTTCTGGCACATTTGCCTGTCCCTAAAAGCCACAGGAACATCTGCATTCCCCTGAGACACACTGAAACACACCAGGAATAAATCCACATGTCTTTTGGGGGTAGCCATTCTTTGGTGTTTTATAACCATTTTCTTAGTAACAGAGAGGGAGTACAAGAAACCGGTGGTGTGCCTCAGTAGAAAACACATTGGCTTTATTGTACGTTTTCTATTGTTTTGCTTTAGTATTAAGAATGGAATCAGAAAGACTCCAGAAAATTTTACAGATGCCTGAACATTTTGGTTCTGGAAAGCAGGAGGAGCATTATTGGAAAAGCTGTTTATTTCTCCTCCTTGTTGCAGTTCTTATCACACCAAGCTTTATACTGGCATACAGCAAATACCCTCACTCAGAGTTCCTATCTGGGTGCTTTCATAAGAGTGACAAAGAACAGGGCAGTGTGTTCACCTGGGAGCTTATTCAATGGCAAAAAAAAACAACAAACAAACAAACAAAAACAAAAAAAACATCATGAGGAGATGGACTCCCTGGAGTCTCCACAGCACACTCCCCATACTTGACCTTAACCTGCCTGTCTGACCACAACTTTGCTCCTTAACCCCACATTAGAGTATAAATTTGCTAATGAAAAGGAGACTGGCTTATTTCAGTCTACTAACACTTTCAATTATTTCCATGACTTCTCAGCATCTCCATGGTAAGCACATGTAGAAAGACACAATGCTTTCAGATTTTCCTGAAAACTTTGGTCTAGAGTAAAGTTATCCCCTTATCATCCTCCATGAATTTTGATGGATTAGAGGGAAATTATGTGGTTTTGCTGTCCTTTGGCTATTGCTTCCATTGCCATGCATTGTTTTTAAACTATTTCATGCACACACATACAAACACAAGAAAAAACAAACAACAACAACGAAAAACAGGGCTTGGGGACTCAGGGATTATAGAAGACCAGGTTATAACTAATACTCTCCTTCCATTACAGACCAGCTCTGAGGGGAGCTACCTGGGCAAAAGAAGAGAACCACATGAAGTAATCTTTCACACTTAGAATTTACAGTCCAGAAGAACTCAGCTTCATTTACAAATGTTCCATGCAAAACCTAATAACAGTCCTAACATTAGGATCTACTACTTAATATTTACATACTGGGAACGAGACAATGAACTTCATTCTCTAGCCAAGGCTTAAAATCTCCTCTACTACCTAGATATTTTCACACTGATGTGTCTATTTAGTGTTATTTCAGAGGGAGACAATTAGTTACAGAAACAAAATACTTAGAACTATAATTTTCACACTTGTCAGCATGATCTGACTTAAAATGTTTTCTTCCCAGAATACGTATTTCCTGTAACAATGAGAAGATTCACAGAAACCCATTTGTAGTTAAGGCTATATTCAAAATTAAATTTCTTACTAGGCCTGATAAATGGATTCTTAAATGTGAAAGAAAGGGTAAGATGCCAAAATGCTATAAGAATGTTGGGAGGGATGTTTGGAAGGGTTGTTAAGGATGAGAGAGTAAAAAACAACAAAGATAATGGTACGAACATGATGTTGGGCTTTAATATGACAAACACATTCCCTTCACCAAAGCCAAGCCCCCTTCCTTATTAACAGAATCTAAATTTCATTCAGAAATATGTCTAGCTAAGATACCCTTCCTGTACTCACTGACATCTAGGAGGATGGGGCATGTGACAGAATTCCAGCCAATTGTTACTCCTCTCTTGACCTCCCTCTTTCCACACAGAATGTCAACGTCACACCTGGCACCTGGGCAATATTTTTACATGTATGAGGTTCTAAGCCAAATGACAGGGGATAAGAAAAGTGAAAAATGAAATACCAGAAGAATTTGGAATCCTGGCAATAGTGTGGGGACAGTCCTGGAGTGACCTTTTCCCAGGTTTTTTACTTAGACTCACAGTCAGTTGGGTTTTCTGTTACATACAATCAAGCACACATGTACCTGATATATCAACATCCAAAGACAAGAAGATTGAAAAGAATGATGATTACTCAGTGAAAATGGCCAAATGAAGTGAAATGACATAAATCTCACACAGATCATGAAATGGACATGAAACATTAATTCTTTCCTGCAGAAAAGACAGAAGTACAAAACTAAAAGAATAACAGTATCATTAAGTTGAAATACAGAGACACAATGCTCCAATTGGCCATATAAAATGTAACTTTGTCCTGTGCTGTGAGTGCTAGTTTGAAAATGCATGTTTCAGAATTAAAACTGGACATTTTATATCATACAGAGAAGAGAATGGAACAAATTTAGAAACAATTACAATTTCTCTCATAATCCATTTGGAAGAGTTCACACTGAGAACTTATATGCCTCACTCTCATCATGGCTCTATCTGATAGACCCGAGAAGAAGGTTAAGTAGAAACATTGGGTAGATGTTTTTTTTGTTTGCTTGTTTGTTTTGTCTTGTTTTGTTTTTTGAGTATTGCACATGCTACTTGGAAACGAAAATGTACTACAACAATCTGGGAGCGCACAATCAATAATCCATGGAAAGTGCTGGATTGATCAATCAATACATCAAATGCACAAGTAACTATATAAAGAAGCTGATGCTTTTATGTTACAAATCAGTGATGAGGCAGGTGTCCCCTCAAAATAAAAATATGTCCCTTTCATAAGAGAACCATCCGCATAGCACTCTGTGATCCAAAGTTCACTGTCCAGTCTCAAATGATCGGTCTTCTATATAGATGGGGTTTCTTCATGCTCACTATAGTGGGTACCACTGATACTGGTTCAGACTGATAAAGAAGTAAAACAATGGACTTGAGAACAAAAGCACGAAATGAGATGGCCACAAGTAGATCACCCATCTGGGTCTTCTTGTAGCTTTCACTGTATCCAACTTTAATTTTCTTTTCTTTTCCAACAAAGTAAGCACAATATCTTCAGTATGATTCCTTAACATAATAACAAATTTTTAGGAACCAGTATATAAACAGTATCATGCTGATCCCCCTTTTTCTCTTTTGGATGCAAAGCTTCACATTTCCTCCAAAATTACAAATATCAACCTTGAGCAAAGGCATAAAAGTTTCTTGTGTTTCATGTCTTCATATAACTCATGCCATTTACACCCTCCCACGTGCCTCCAAAGCAGTTAGTAAATTTATTAAGAAATACAGCTTGGAACTTGTAAGAGGTTAAAGCTATAAAATGCCTACTAATTTATGGTTTGGCCATTTAAAAAATGTTTTATTCTTCTCCCCCTACTTTCAAAAAAGGCTTTCAGCATATGTTTTTTTCATTAGGATCATAATGTATCATTTGATTATTTCCTTAAAAATTATATAGTTATTGGTCTTTTCAAAATAATTGCCACTTTATTGCTAATTAAACATGATGGATTCAGGGTCCTGGTTTGCCATCTGGGCCATGTGTCTCAGAACATCCTTTTTTGTGATGATCCCAAGAAGTCTCCTGGAATGGAAACAAAACAGAAAAAAGAAGTCAGCTTGACAGAAAAGACTCATCACCAGGCTCAGTGACAGGCAAAGTTTCCTAGCTTCTCTTATAATTGGGCAGGACCAAGTGAGAAATCCAGCCAAATGGCCTATGTACAATGGTGACAGGTGTTTCCCTCAGTTCTTCTATGCAGGTCTCCTCTGTTCCACTCTTCTGGCATCTATAAACAAGAGGACCAAGGAAGGACTCTGATGTGTAGAATAAATATGTAACTATATTCATAAGCTGTTAGATTCATAAACCACTAGATTCAAAGACATGGGTCCCTGAATGACTGATAAAGATTCTGTTCTTGCATAGGATGTAACAGGTAAAGAAAATGGGTCTTTCTTTCTTTCTTTGCTTGTATGTTTTGATACAGAGTTTCCCTGTACAGCCTATACTTGGAACTATTAGTCCAAATTAGATTCAAACTTTTAATCTTCCTACCTCAACATCCCAACTGTTAAGAAAAATAAATCCACATACCTACGGATACTTAACTTTTGACAAAGAGGCCAAAACCATACAATAGAAAAAAGACAGCATCTTCAACAAATGATTCTGGTCTAACTGGATATCTACAAGCAGAAAAATGCAAGTAGATCCATATTTATCACCCTGAACAAAACTGAAGTGCAAGTGGATCAATGACTTCAACATAAAACCAGACACACTAAATCTGTTAGAAGAAAAAGTAGGGAAGAGCCTAGAACTCATTGGCACAGGAGACAACTTCCTAAAGAGAACACCAACAGTACAGGCTCTAAGAGCAACAATCAATAAATGGGACCTCATGAAACTGAAAAGCTTCTGCAAAGCAAAGGATACTGTTGTCAGAACAAAATGACAGCCTACAGAATGGTAAAAGATCTTCACCAACCCTATATCTGACAGAGGGCTAATATCTAGAATATATAAAGACCTCAAGAAGTTAAAAAGCAAAAACCCAAGTAATCCAATTAAAAAATGGGGTACAGAGCTAAATAGAGAATTCTCTGCAGAGGAATATAAAATGGTAGAGTAACACTTAAAGAAATGCTCACTGTCTTTTGTTATCAGGGAGATGCAAATCAAAACGACCCTGAGATTTTACCTTACACCCATCAGAATGGCTAAGATCAAAAACTCAAGTGACAACATATACTGGAGAGAATATGAAGAAAGGGGAACAATACTCCATTGCTGGTGGGAATACAAATTTGTACAACCACTTTGGAAATCAATCTGATGCTTTCTCAGACAATTAGGAATAGTGCTTCCTCAAGATCCAGCTATACCACTCCTAAGCATATATCTAAAATATGCTAAAGTACACAACAAGGACATTTGCTTAACCATTTTCATAGCAGCTTTATTCGTAATAGCCAGAACCTGGCAACAACCCAGATGTCCCTCAACGGAGGAATGTGGTACAGAAATTGTGGTACATTTACACAATGGAATACTACTCAGCAATTAAATACCAGGAAATCATGAAATTTGAAGGCAAATGGTGGGTTCTAAAAGAGACCATCTTGAGTGAGGTATCCCAGAAGCAGAAAGACACACATGGTACATACTCACTTATATGTGGATACTAGACATATAATAGATGATATATAATAGACATATAATAGATGATATACATATACATATATGATAGACATATAATAGATGTTTGGGGTTAGCTGAGCCTACATAGAAAGATCCAGCAAGTCTGCGATATAAAGTAAGACTGAATAAAAAAAATTACTCTTCTTTAAATTTTGTGTAACTGGATAAAGTACAAGATAAACTACTGACTAAATACACACATCATCTCCTCTTCCAAAATTCCACTCTTTTCAATGTAAAAAAAGTGACAATTTCTAGAGTCTGGGTCTGGGTGTCTGGGTGTCTGTCTGTCTGTCTGTGTATGCACGCACATGCAAATGCATACATGTAGTATATGTACTTGTTCGTGTACATGGGTATGTCAAGGCCAGAGGTCAACTTATGGGTTGTCCTCTATTGCTAACCACATTTTTTTGTTGTTGTTTTTTGAGACAAAGTCTCTCTGTGTAGCCTTGGTTGTCTTGGACTTGCTTTGAAGACCAGGCTGGCCTTTAACTCACAGAGATCTGCCTGCCTCTGCTTCCTTGATTGCTGGAATTACAGGCCTTTACCATCACATGCCTGGTCACCTCTTTTTATGACTGTCTTTCATTGAACCTAGGGCCCACTGATTCAGCTAGACTGGCAACAATGAGCTTTAGGAATCTTCTGGCTTTCTGATCTGTCTACTCCTCAATGCTGGGGTTGCAGACATGCAATACCACATCCAGCTCTTATTGGAGATAAAATGTTTGTATTGGAGATATAAACTCACAACTGCATAGAAGCCACTTTACCAGATCAGTCAGGAGTAAGTTTCTCAGGGTTGTTCTTACAGGGTTACCTGAACTGTGCAAACTTAGGGTGTATTTTTCACAGAGACTAGAAGATAAGTAGGGCTCCTTGGATGATACTTTGCTCATTTGAACATTCACACCAACCTTGCCTTCATTCTTTTATTAGATATTTAATAAGTCAGTGGGACCAAATCATGCTCCCTTGATGAAGTGAATTTTTCTATAAAGAGGATGTGAACAACTTCTTTGGAAAAAAATCCAGTACCAAATAAGTATGAAAATTATTGTTCACTCCATCTCCATCAAACTGAAAGTAAAGGAGGTGGAGGTGGGAAGCCAGCCACAGCAGCCTCAGAATTATGAAGCAATAAACATGATAGGCCTTTACTAATGGAAATGTGTAAAGTGATGACATATAGAAACATAAGAAAGCACAGATACAACACATTGCCATTTAACTCAGGCTTTATTAGGCCAATTCAAGTTATACCACCCAGTAGTTAATATGAAGAAAGCTGCATGTATCCAAGGAGTAGCTATGTCAACTACAGCTGGTGAACAGATCAGGCTGTTTCTGACCACATCAGCTTGTAAGTAATCTAGGAAATGTTGTATCTTTCTAGTGTTAGTTTCCTCATCTATCACATTAAGAAAGTGAATAAATACTGTTCCTTATCCTCTGTGTCACAGGAGCATCATTAAGAGTGAGAAAAGCATCCAGAGGTTCCTATAAAATCATTCTAGATAACAACTAAAGGGTGGGTACTTGAATGAGTATAGAGCCAGGAACTGTGAATGTAACTCAAGCTACTTAGGGCTCCTTGATTTTGGTCATCTTTATATATGTGTACACACACACACACACACACACACACACACACACACACACACACACACGACAGGGTCTTGGGTTTTGATATGTAGACTTGACTTACCTCATGCTTAAGGCAATTCTTCTAACTCAGGTTCCTGTGTGTTGGGATTACCAAGCATATGCCTACACATCCAGCAAAATATATGTACAGTGCAGTAAAATTGAATTAAAGTTGTATCATGGAACAAAAGCACTGCTCTGCCCAATCTGCCAAGCTGAGTTTCAATCTTGGCATCAGACCACCTATACTGCTGTAACAAAAGGCCACAGATGTCATGGTTGAATTAAAGTGTAAGATCAAGGTGCTTTCAGGGCCAGTTTCCCCAAGAATTATCTCTTAGGATGACAGATGGGCATCACTATGCTCTTGTTGTGTTATCATATGGTCTTCTCTATATGTATAGATACTCCTGGGATTCATTCTTCCTCTTTTTTTTTTTTTTTTAGGGACATTAGTCCTGTTGGGTTAAGGATCTACCTAAATGTCCTCATTTAACTTAAGGCTCAACATCATCTGTTCCCATCCCCCCAACAACCAAGACATTAGGGTTAGGCTTCACTATAGAAATTTACAGGGAGACAATTCAGTCTTCAACTCTCTGTGTTGGACAGTTGTGATAACGAAATTCCCTCTGAATACTTCCCATTCCATATCATGTGAAATTCTAAATCTTTACAATATGTAGAACTGGGTTAAGTGAATATAGTGGTCTCCCCATATATTGGCCTAGTCCTAAAACAACCTGAAGGAACCAAATATTGCCACTCTTCTTGTAATGAAATGCTTGCTTCTTCTGGGAACCCATCTGCAAGTGTGACCACTGCCAAGGGAAGTAAGGTACTCTGGGCTTCTACCATAGGAATGGGCCTGGGTTCAATTAGTAACTCATGAAAATTGCTTTTCCAAGTTGATTTATGTCAGCTGATTGGGGCTGGACTGACCTAATAAGGACCACTGTACTCATCCAATGAGAAGTAATGATTTTCCTAGTGGCACTATTACCCAGTATTTGGTCGATCACTGCGGTCCAGCAGAAATATCACTGAGTCCTCAATATTGTCCTTGGAGCTTCATAGTCATATGTGGCTACTGATAATAATACTCCAGAGCCCTGAGTTATATCAGAAGTTTGGAGACCCCAGGTAAGAAAGACAGTTTTCCCTTTGGAATCAGATACAGTTTGTTCTCATTCTGCCGATGCTAACTTCAAGGGTACAGAACTAGCAAAGAGATTTAATGCTGCAAAATGTCAATATTTAAAGTCAGTTGGGACTGTTCAGTGAGGATATCTCTTTCATAACAGTAGCCAAGTGAGTTCTAACCTTGATATATATGACACTCTTTACTTTTCTGCACCCCATAAAGGCTTTACTCATGACTTCTCCACTTTGATACTAGTGGAGTGTCCTGTCCTGTACATTACTTGCTAAGCAGCACTGTTGCTTGACTTGCCTACACACACATACACACACACACACACACACACACACACACACACACACACACACACAAACTGTGGCAATCAAAATTTTCTCAGATACTACCCAATGTTACTCCTCATTGAGAACCACTGTCCAAACTAAAAGTGAGAAGGGAAGGACTAATTTAATTAAATGAGTGACCATATGACTAAACAATCCTATTCTTGGTTAGCTACCCAAGAAAACTGAAAACATGCCAGCTTCACAACTTATATACTAATCTTTTCCACAATAATACTAACTGGAAA